GAACCGGTCTGTATGTGGGATCCGAACCCTCGGCGGGAGCACCGCCGCACTCCCAAGCAGCGCACTATCGCAGTGCGCCACCGGGCCGGCCCTGAAGCCATCATTCTTGATGTGTTTGTCTGCACTGCTGGCCAGTGAGATGTCATCCTTTCAGGTCCTGGATTGTTAGTTCGTTCAAGTCATCTCAGAAGTGTTCTACATTCCTGTCCATATGCTCATTCACACTAAGGTTCAAGTGGTTGATTTATCAATATTATTCCTAAAATATTTAAATGTGAATGGGAGATAAGCCATTATCCAAATAAATAAGTAAATACTTTCCTAATAGTATAATTCAAGCATTCTCTCTGGCAAAATTTCTTAATTTGTAGTTTATGGAGATCTTGGGAGATCTGTAATGCTCTCCACAGACTCTCTGAAAATTGAGTATATATGGCATGTTTTTTTTTTTTTTTTTCCCCTGTGAAAAAGCTCCATAGCTTTTTTTTTGGGGGGGGTTGGGGGGGTGGGGGGCAGCTGGCTGGTCCAGGTATTGAACCCTGGACGTTGGTGTTATCAGCACCACACTTTAACCAACTGAGCTAACCAGCTAGCCCCTGAAAAAGCACCATAGCTTTTACTAGATTCTCAAAAGCCTCTGAATCCCAAGGACTAAGAATTGTGGAAACGATAGTGAACAAGGCTAAAAGGGTCACTGTCTTCAGGAAATTATGTTCTAAGGGCAGGAAAAACAAACAGATGATGTGTCCTATGATTGGGGAAGTACAGGTGTTGTGAGAACATAGAGAGGGCCCCCTAAACCAGACTGAGGGCTGGGTGTCAGCAGAGGCTCCTTGGAGGAATTGACTATGAAACTGAGGCCTGCAGAATGAGAAATAGCATTTGGCTTGGTAAAGGAAGGGTTGGAGGAAGGGGTGATGTTGGTAGAAGTAAGTGTTCCAGGTATCCACCTATGCAAAGGTCCAGAGTCCAGAGATACCTGGACAGTTCCCTAAGCTAGAAAGAGTTTGTATGGTTGAAGCTTAGAGTGCTTAGAGTTAGATTGAAGATTCAGTAAGATGAGGCTAGGAGGTGATTGGAAGCCAGGTTGTGTGTGTGAAACTGGGCATACCGAGGGGAACAAGACGAAGGAGCCCCTACCTTCAGGAGTTTTATTTCAGTAAGGAGAAACTGAACAAGTCGGCAGATAAGCAAACAAGATGATTTTTAATTTTGATGAAGATAATAAGGTGAGGTAGTAAATGGTGTCTGGGGTGTATATCAGAGGGAGCTCCTTAGATCAGCATACAGTGTGTCGCCACATGGATTAGAGGGTTTCAACAAAGTGGTGGCAGGAGGAATGCAGAGAATTGGATAGATTTGAGAGACATTGAGAGAGCAGAATCAATAGTATTTGGTAGTTTACTGGAAAATAATAACAAACAACAATAGCTTCCGTTTGTTGAATACTTAACTAAGTATGAGGCACTGCTCCCAGTGCTTAATATATATATTTTTCTCATTTATTCCTGTAACAACTCTGTGAAGTAGGCATTTTTCTTAATTTTATAGATGAGAAAATGGCGGCACAGAGGTGGAGGAGCTGGGATTCAAACTTAAGTCTGTCTCACTCCAAAGCCCTATGAGCAGTGGGGGCAAAGGAGAGGCAATAAATTTGGGGCAGAGGTAAGAGTGGGGGGAAAGATGATATATTTGAGATCTGTGGACTTGGGGTGCCATCCAAGCAGAGATGTTGAACATGCAAATAGATAAGCGAGTATGAAGCTCAGAAGAGAGATCTAGGTAAAGGAACAAATTCGTGAGTTGCCAGCATAGAAATGTTATTTGGAGTCACAAAATGGGTGAGAGCACCCCTGGGAAAGTATATAGAAGTATTAGAACAGAACTTTAAGGAGCACCAACACATAAGAAATGACAGAGAAAGAACCTCCAAGAAGATGTAGCTAGAGCTCTAAAAAGAAAATCAGGACAGTAGCATCATGAAAGCCAAAAGAAGAGTTTCAGAGAGAGAATGGTCAACAGTGACATGTTCTCCTTGAGGGGAAGGAAGATAAGGGCTAGGATGTGTCTATGCATGGTAGTAACAGGAAATCCATTAGTTATCTAAGAGGACAGTCTCGGTGGACTAGTGGGGACAGATTTAGTTGATTGAACAGTGATTGAGAGGCAAGGAATTTGAAGTGGAAAGTATAGATAACTTGATGAAAATGTTTGTGTCTCTGGAGCTAAGAATCCGGAGTCCAGATTATAAGCGACACCCCTCTACTAGGCTGGGACCCTAGGGGTCTGCTGTACCTCCTCAAGAAAAGACATGTCCCTTTCCTCTCCAGCAGTCATTTAAAAAAAAAAAAAAATTCCCTGCTCTTAAGCCTCTGCCTTACCTTTTTCCTCAGAATACTCCCTGGATGAACTCAGTCCTGAAAAAAAATGTATATTGGCTGTTTTCTGCCTGCAGATCACTGGCATTACCAGAAGGGCCATGGGGAAGATATTCTCCCAGGGCAGATACACTCCCAGTGCAGCCAGGTGCTCATCACCTGTCTCTCTCTCCTGCTAGGCGTGCTAGTTGGGCTCCAGCAATGGAGAAACACCATGGGCATGTGTCTGTCCATTCGGACATCCTCTCCTTGGAAAACCAGTGCCTGGCCATGCTTCCTGACCCGAAGACCATGGACAAACTCGATGGGCATATGTCTGTCCATTCGGACATCCTGTCCTTGGAGAACCGGTGCCTGGCCATGCTTCCTGACTTGAAGTCCATGGAAAAACCATGTGGACATGTGCCTTCCCACCCAGATGTCCTCTCCTTGGAGAACCGGTGCCTGGCCACCCTCCCCAGTCTAAAGAGCACTGTGTCTTCCAGCTCCTTGCTCCAGTGTCTCCAGATATCTCACATGATGCAAGATGATTTGTGCAGCCTGAACACCAGCACTTGCTTGCTCTCTAAGCCTTCAATTTGGAGGGCTCAGTGTCTATCTAAGGAACTAGATCTTCTGACCTGCCCCATGGCCTTGAAATCCATCTCTGCCACAGAGAATGTTCAGGAAGCAACTCTGGTAATAGCTTCAGGCACTCATCTTGACTCCAGCCATGTCTGTTGTATGCTCTTATCACTAGCTTTCAGTGCCTCAGTTTCCATCTGTGCTGCTCTATGTCTGGGTGTCTTTTTTCCTCAGAGCTTTTTCTGAGGTGCCCTTTACCCCAGAGCTGTCTTCATCAGCATCATTATTCTTATTGCATATCTAGTTCAGAGATTCTGGACAACAGGTCAAAAACAGGCCCTGTCCTTAGAAAGCCTTCACTCAGGAGTAGAGCCAGCATGATATTGCTACGGCAAAGTCAGTTAGGTGCTTTTGAGATCAGGCATGAGACACATCTACTATACCAAGACCCACTTCCCTATATGTGCATGTGCAAACACATGTCCACCTGTGTACATCTATAGAAGCACATTTAGTACATAGGTTGGAGTAGGTAGACAAACACGCATTGCTTCTGTAATGACTTGGGATTTGAGCTGAGTAAACAGGCTAATCTGAGCCCAATACTGTTTCTGCCAATTACAGACTATCCAACCTTGGGCAAGACTCTTAACCTTTTGGAGCTTTAATTTCCTCACCTTTAAAATGAGTCAGTGAAAATCTACCTCACAGGGTCATTGTCAGGATTACAACTACTGCCATCTTACATTGATTTAGGGCTTTGCAATTTGTGATGAGTCATACATATGTTATTCCATTTCATTTTCCAACAACCTTACCAGGTAAATGGTAGTGAATGAGGAAGCTGATGTTCAGAGAGATTAGCCAGGCCAAGGTTGCTAGGGGATAGATATGGGACTTGGCTCTTTCTCTTCTAACTCCCAAAACATCTTAATAGCATCCTAGAAGGTGTGTGAAGGGCTCCAGTCTCTCAGGCTCTGACACCGGTAAGGAGATGAAAGCAGGGGGAAGACCAGGAAGCACCCAGGACCAAGGCTCAGAAGGTTGAGCAGGAAAGGTGGTGTGTGTGACAGTAAGAGAGCTCTAAGTCAGAGACAGGACAGATTAGCACTGGGCTGTGAAGGGCAGGAGTTTACTGCTAGATAGAGATATGGGGCCACCTTCAGATTTGTCTTATGTTTGAGGGACCATGGGTACATGCTGTGATTCATAACTTCCAGTATCTCCAGGGCTGTTGGTCGTACTCAGAAGAGAAAAAGCCAGAAGAGAAGGAAGGAACAGAAGCCCAAATGCCTCTTTATAGTTTAAGCTTGGGAGAGGAGCAGGAGGTGGAGGAGCTGATCCTGAAGCTCACATCTGGAGACTCCGAATCTTGTCCTGAGCCCACTGACCAGGCCCTTCAGGAAAAGAAGGTGAAAGTTTCAGAGTTAGGGAGAGGTTGATGGTGGTGGAGGGAAGGGGAGGGATGGGGGATCTGGACCAGGTTCTCTCCCTGGATGGAAGGGGAAGGAGGAGACATGACCCAGCTCTTAATTTTTCACTTCAATCCCCATTTCTAACCTCTCAGTTGGACAAATATCCTTCCAAATCTGGAGCCTATTCTGTCTTTCCTTGACTTTGTTAGTTGGTTCACATGGATGCTTAAGCTGGTCCCTGTTATCTGTCTCTCTCTTTTTCCCCTCTTTCCCTTTTTTCAGATGGTTCTAATGAGCTTGCTGTGCTCTACTGTGGCCTCAGATGTAAATATGGAAGATGTGAGTGACCCCATCCGGTCTTCCATCCTGGCAGCCTGTAGTGAACTTGCACCCTTGGAGCCTGAGTTTATACTCAAGGTATTGTGGAGTGAAGGAGGGGATGGGAGTGGAAAGCTGGGAGATAGAGAACATGGTTATGTTGTATGAGGGGGGTGGTGACTAACCTCATGGTGGGGTGGGAGGTTCACTTAGGAAGGATCTCTGGGCAAGTCTGAGGCCTAGCCCCTGGGCTTCTGTGAACAATGGGGAAAGATGAGATTGGGAAGGAATGTACTAGTGTTGGCATGTTTATTAAGTACACTGTGCTAGGCCTTGAGGGTCCTACTAACAGATATAATGAAACTTGCATCTGGCTCTTAAAGAGTTTATAGTGCTATTAGGGAAGCAAAACACTGTTTCCCAAACATCCCAAATGCAACTGGAGTACTACTAGATGGTGAACATTTCAGAAGAAAACAGGAGAGGGAATGTTTTCTATGAGGCTTCAGAAAATGTTTTCTGAGGCTTTGGAAGATGGCAGGTTTAATCAAAGATTTGAGCCCTGGCTAAGTTTTTGATAGACATTGATGTGGAAAGTCTTCCAAAGAGGGAAAGGGCCTGGTTGACCTTGAAGGCAGTTGGTAGACTTAGAGGACATACTGGCAATGTAGATAAATGCTAGATTATGGAGGATTTACAATGTTAAGCCAGGAGGTTGGGCTTTCTGTTATTTATTTATCAAAACGTAATTGATTGTACATATCTGTGGGATATTGCGTTGAATACAATACCTGTGTGCAATATGTGGTGTTCAAATCAGGATAATTAGTATATTCAACATTACATAATGTAATCATTTTTTTGTGGCCCTTTACCAATTCCCCTACCCCTCTCTCCTTTCCCACCTCTGGTAATCTTGGTTCCATGTTCTCCTTTTGAAAGTTCAACATATTATTGTGATTGTTGTATCTTTCTTTCTTCTTTTTTATTTATTTGTTTATTTATTTTTTTTAGCTCCCACTTATGAGTGAGGACATGCGGTGCCTGGATTATTTCACTTAACATTATTTTCTCTAAGTTCATCCATGTTGCTGCAAATACCAGAATTTTATTCTTTTTTTATGACAGAGTAGTATTCCATTAAGTATATCCAGTCATCTATCAACAGACATATAGGCCAGTTCTATCTCTTGGCTATTGTAAATAGACCTGCAATAAACATGGGAGTACAGATATCTCTTTGACATGATGATTTCCATTGCTTTGGGTATATACCCGGCAGTGGGATTGTGGGATCATATGACAGTTCTACCTGTAGTTGTCTGAGGAGACTTCATACTGTTTTCCATCATGGCTGCACTAATTTACAGTCCCACCAACAGTGTACATGGGTTCCTCTTTTTCCTCATCCTCACTAGCATTTATTAATCTCTGTCTTTTTGACAATAGCCAGTCTAACTGAGATGAGATGATATCTCAGTGTGGTTTTGATTTGCATTTCCCTGATATTCAGTGATGTTGAGCATTTTTTCATGTGTCTGTTGGCCATTTGTATATCTTCCTTTGAGAAATGCCTGTTAGGCTCCTTTGCCCATTTTTTAATCTGGTTACTTTTTTTTTTACTATGAAGTTGTTTGAGTTTCTTATATATTCTGGATGTTAATCCCTTGTCGGATGTATAGCTTTTGCAACTATTTTCTCCCATTCTGTAGGTTGTCCTTTCGCTCTTTTAATTGTTCCTTTTGCTGTACAAAAGCTTTTTAATTGGACATAATCCCATTTGTTTTATTTTTTCTTTTATTGACCTGTGCTTATGGGGTCTTATTCATAAAGTCTTTGCCAAGTCCTACTTCCTGAAGTGTTTCCCCTTTGTTTTCTTTTAGGAGTTTTTTAGTTTCAGGTATTATATTTAAGTCTTTAATCCATTTTGAGTTGGTTTTGGTATATGGCAAGAAGTATGGGTCTAGTTTTATTCTTCTACATATGATGTCCAGTTTTCACAGCACCATTTATTAGAGAGGCAGTCTTTTCTCCAAGGGTTTTTTTTTTTTTTTTTTTTTTTTTTTTTGGTGCCTTTTGGTCTGTCTTGAAGATCAGTTGGCTATAAGTATGTGTGTTAATTTCTGGGTTCTCTATTCTGTTCCATTGGTCTGAGTGTCTGTTTTTACATCAGTAGCATGCTGTTTTAGTTACGTAGCTTTGTAGTTAATTTGAAGTCAGGCAGTGTAATGCCTCTGGCTTTATTTATTTATTTATTTTTTGCTTAGGATTACTTTGTATATTTGGGGTCTTTTGTTCTTGCATATAAGTGTTAGGATTGTTTTTTCTGTTTCTGTGAAGAATGTCATTGGTATTTTGACAGGCATTGCATTGAATCTGTAGATCACTTTTGGTAGTATGGATGTTTTCATAATGTTAATTCTTCTAATCCAAGAGCATGGGATGTCTTTCCATCCTTTTGTGTCCTCTTTAATTTCTTTCAGCAAAGATTTGTTATTCATGTTGTAGAGATGAATACCTCCTTGGTTTGAATTTACCTCCTTGGTTGAATTTATTACTAGGTATTTTATTTTTTTGTTGACTATTATAAATGATCTGGCTTTCTTGACTTCTTTTTCTGCTAGTTTGTTATTGAAGTATAAAAATGCTACTGATTTTTGTGTGTTGATTTTGTATCCTGAAACTTTACTGAAATTGTTTATCAGCTCTAAGAGTTTTTTGGTTGAGTCTTTCTATATGTAGGATCATGTCATCTGCAAACAGGGACAGTTTGACTTCATCTTTTCCAATCTGGCAGTCCATTATTTCTTTCTCTTGCCTGATTGCTCTGGCTAGTATTTCCAATACTTGGTGAGAGTGGGCATCCTTGTCTTATTCCCATTTTTAAGGGAAAAGCTTTCATCTTTTCCCCATTCAGGATGATATTGGTAGTGGGTTTGTCATTTATGGCTTTTATTGTGTATGTTAAATAAGAGTGGTGAGAGTGGGCATCCTTGTCTTATTCCCATTTTTAAGGGAAAAGCTTCCATCTTTTCCCCATTCAGGATGATATTGGTAGTGGGTTTGTCATTTATGGCTTTTATTGTGTTGAGATACTTTCCTTCTATACCTAATTTGCTAACGGTCTTTATTGTGAAGGTATGTTGAGTTTTGTCAAATGCTTTTGCTGCATCTATTAAGATAGTCATATGGTTTTCATCCTTGATTTTGTTGATGTGGTGTATCACATTTATTGACTTGCATATATTGAACCATCCTTGCATCCCTGGGATGAATCTCACTTGATTGTGGTGTATAATTTTTTTGATGTGTTGCTGTATTCTGTTTGCTAATATTTGGTTGAGGATTTTTGCATCTATTTGTATCAAAGATACTGGCCTGTAGTTTTCTTTTTTTGTTATATCTCTGACTGATTTTGGTATCACTGTGATGCTGGCTTCATAAAATGAGTTTTGGAGAATGGGTTCTGTTTCAATTTTTTGAAGTAGTTTGAAGAGAATTGTTATTAATTCCTCTTTAGATGTTTGGTAGAATTCAGTGGTAAAGCTATCCAGTCCTGGGCTTTTCTTTGCTGCAAGACTGCTGATTACTACTTCATTCTCGTTGCTTGTTATTGGTCTGTTCAGGTTTTCTGTTTCTTCTTGGTTCAGTCTTGGTAGTTTGTATGTGTCCAGAAATTTATCCATTTCCTTCAGGTTTTCAAATTTGTTGGTGTATAGTTGTTTATAAGTCTCTAATGATTGTTCATATTTCTGTAGTATCAATTGTAATGTCTCCTCTTTCATTTCTGATTTTTGTTATTTTGGTCTCTCTTCTTTCTTTAGTTAGCCTAGCTATTGGCTTGTCTATTTTGTTTATCCTCTCAAAAAAAAACAACTTTTTGTTTCATTGATCCTTTGTATCATATTTTGGGTCTCTATTTCACTTAATTCTGTTATGATCTTAATTATTTCTGTCTACTAATTTTGGGATTGGATTGTTGTTTTTCTAGTTCTTTGAGGTTTAGTGTTAGGTAGTTCATATGAAATCTTTCTTTTGATATGAGTGTTTATTGCAATAAACTTCTCTCTTAGTACTGTTTTGCTGTATCCCATAGATTTTGGTATGATTTGTCTTTATTTTTGTTAGTTTCAAGAAATTTTTTATTTCCTATTTAATTTCTTCTTGGACCCATACGTTGTTAAAGAACATGTTGTTTAATTTCTATGTGTTTTTATAGTTTTCAGAGTTTTGTTTTTATTGATTATTACTTTTAATCTGTTGTCTTCTGAAAAGATACTTTAAATGATTTCAATTTCTAAAAAATTTGTTGAGACTTCTTGTGACTTAAAATGTGGTCTGTCCTAGAGAATGTTTCATGTGCTGATGAGAAGAATGTATATTCTGTAGTTGTCAGATGAAATGTTCTGTAGGTATCTGCCAAGTCCAATTTGCCTGAAGTGTAGTTTAAATCCTGTGTTTCTCTGTTGATTTGTTGCCTAAATTACCTGTCCAATTCTGAGAAAGGGGTGTTCAGGTCCCCAACTATTATCATATTAGGGTCCATCTCTTTCTTTAGTTCTAATAGTGTTTGCTTTATATATCTGGGTACTCCAGTATTGGGTGCATATATAAACATATAAGTGTTATGTCTTCACACCGGATAGATCCCTTTTATCATTATATAGTAGCCTTCTTTGTCTCTTTTTATGGTTTTTGGTTTAAGGTCTATTTTATCTGATATAAGAATAGCTACTCCTGCTCATTTTGGTTTCCATTTCCATGGTATATCTTTTTTTATTCCTTCATTCTTAGTCTGTGTGTGTCTTTACAGGTGAGATGAGTCTCTTGTTGATAGCATGTAGTTGGGTCTAGCTTTTTAATCCTATCAGTCTTTTTTTGAGTGGGGAGTTTAATCATTTACATTTAGGGTTGTAATTGAAAGGTACTGTCTTCTGACATTTAACTGGTTTTTGTATGGTTGACTTAAATATCTTGTTCCTTTCTTCCCCTTTTATTCTTTGTCTCCAGTGTTTTTGGATTTTTGAGGTGTTATGGTATAGTTTCTTTCTCTTTCCCATTTGCGTATCTGCTCTACCAGTGGTGTTTGTTCATACTCATGTGTTCATGGTGGTGATTATTATGTTTTAGGTTCTAGGTGCAGGACTCCCTCAAGATTTTTCTTATCTTGCTGGTTGTGTGGTTGTGAAGTCCTGCAGCTTTTGTTTGTCTGAGAAATATACTATTTTCCCTTCATTTCTGAAGCATATCTTTGCTGGGTATAGTATTCTTGGCTGGCAGTTTTTTTCTTTTAGTACTTTGAATCCAGTTCTCTTCTGGCTGTAGGATTTCTGCTGAGAAGTCTCCCTCATAGGTGAATTGACATTTGTTTCTTGCTGATTTTAGGATTCTTTGTCTCTGACTTTTGAAAGTTTGATTATAATGTATTTCAGAGAGGACTTTTTGGATTGAATCTATTTGGAGATCTTAGAGCCTCTTGGATGTGGAAGTCTGTATCTCTACTACCAATATCTGGGAAGTTTTCTGCTATCATTTTATTGAAGGTGTTTTCAATGTCTTTTCCTTTCTCTTCCCCCTCTGGAACACTCACGATTCAGATGTTTGTGTGTTTAACGTTGTCTGCTAGCTCTCTTTGATTTTCTTCACTTTTTTTTTTCTTTATTTATTTTTGTCCACTTGGATTATTTAAAAAAGACTGTCTTCAGAATCAGAAGTTATTTCTTCCACTTTCTCTAGCTTGCTGCTTATGCTCTCAGTTGTAGTTTTTATTTTGTTGAATAAGTCTTTCAGTTCCAGGAGCTTTGCTACATTCTTTTTTTTTTTTTTTTTGTCTTTTGTCTTTTTTCCGTGTCCGGCAATGGATCGCAACCCTCAGTGTTGCCCCCGTACCGGACCGGGGACCGGCAACGGTATCGCAACCCTCGGCGTTGCTCCCGCGCCTCGCTCAGCCAGTGAGCGGGAGCCGGTCTGTATGTGGGATCCGAACCCTCGGGCGGGAGCGCCGCCGTGCTTCCCAAGCGGCGCACTATCCAGTGCGCCACCGGGCCGGCCCTACATTCTTTTTTATGGTATTTATCTTTGTTTAAATTTCCTCCTTCATGTCCTGGATTGTTTTTCTCATTTCATTTTGTTGTCTATTTGAGTCTTCTTGTATGTCACTGAGTTTCTTCAAGATTGTTACTCAGAATTCCTTTTTAGAGGATTTACTGTTGTTTGGGGTCTGCTTTTTTGAGAATTGTGCTATTCCTCTGGTAGTGTCATATTTTCTTGTTTTTCGTATTTCTAGTATCACTACAATAATTTCTAGTCATATAGGGGAGTGTTTACTTCTTCTATTACTCTGGGGTGGCTTTTGAGGAGAGAGACTCCCTCCTTTAGATTTGTTATATGTTGCCTATTGGATGGGGTTTTAGTTTTGGTTCTGTAGAATCAGTAGTTTTGGTAGTTCTGGGTACAGTCGATTGTTCTGAGTAGACTCAGTAATTCAGTGGGGTGCTGGCAGCTACATCTGTGGCTGTGCCTATGTGGGTGGGTGGGGGCTGTGTGAGCAGTTGGGGTGGCTGGGGCCACATGGGCAGCTGGGCAGGTGGGGGCTGTGTGGGTGGCTGGGTTAGGTGGGCCCATTTGTGCAGTTGGCTATGGTGGCTGGGACTGTGTGGGCAGCTGGGGCTGTGCATGCAGCTGGATGGCAGGGCCCATGGGGGTGGGTGGGGCCACATGGTTGGAGGGGTGTTGGGGCTGCATGGGCAGCGGGACAGCTGGGCCCAGGTGGGGTCGTGGGGCTACACTGGTGGCCGGGTGCTTGGCGTCACATTGGCAGCTGAAGCCACACGGGCAACTGGAAGGCTGGAGCCATGCCGGCCACTGGCACAGTGTGGGCAGTTGGGCTTGGCCGCATGGGCAATGTGGGCCATTTGGTGAGGTGCACTGTGCAGGAAGAACTCCTGTGTGGGAGAAGGGCCATGGCTCTGGGACTAGACAGTGGAACAGGCAACCAAGACAGTGGTGGGGGAGAGCTGGGGCAGGAGCAGGAGGAGGGTTACCACTGGAATGTGCTCATGGCTGAGCAGGTTCTTTGCTTTGCAAAGGAGAATTCCTCCTGGTTAATCCTGGTGTGGGAGACATGTGCCTCTTTTTCCTGCCAAGACAGTGGTGGGGGAGAGCTGGGGCAGGAGCAGGAGGAGGGTTACCACTGGAATGTGCTCATGGCTGAGCAGGTTCTTTCCTTTGCAAAGGAGAATTCCTCCTGGTTAATCCTGGTGTGGGAGACATGTGCCTCTTTTTCCTCTACACCACCCTGCTTGGTTTTTGTGCTCCACATGGGCTTTATCAGGCTCCCACTGCCCTCCCATGCACTGCTACCGATGTTCTCCCCTGTACTTAGCTGTCTGTTCCTTGCTTTGGTCCCTTTCTGTGTGAGGGATCATGCATTGGACACATCTAGTCCGCCATCTTGGGGCTTTATATTTTGTAGATGATATGGAGCTCTCAGGAAAGGTTTTATGCAGGCTGATTCATTAAGCGAGTTAGTTTAGGGCATGAAGCTATGTGAGAGGTGGCTGAGATACCAACCCTCTCCACCCTGTGCCCTAGGCATCTTTGTACACCAGGCAACAGCTTAACCTGCGAGATGTGGCCAATAAACTCTTGGCCATTGCGGCCTTCTTACCAGCCTGCCGCCCCCACCTGCGACGATATTTCTGTGCCATTGTCCAGCTGCCTTCTGATTGGATCCAGGTAGCCAGGTTCTACCAGGTATGGCACTCGCTTCCCTGACCTTTGGCCCTCACATGGTTTCCCTCGCTTGTGCTCACTGCATCCCTGGAGAAAATTCACAGAGTTTGGCCTGCCCTTAGTTTCCCTCAACCTTGGTACCCAGACGGGGCAGCTTCTCCCTGTACTATGCTGGGTTGCCCAACAGGGAGAATACGATTGAGAATGGGTGCACTGAAGTGTGAGAAAAATTGATCTTATTTTGGATCTCATGTTTATAATGAAGAAAATGAGAAGCAGAGAAGTCTGCTGACTTGCCCAGCACCATGGAAGTTGTCATTCTAGAGCTGGAGCTGGGAACTTGCTCCCTATTCTGTTCCCTCCTCTGACCCCATGAATTGTCTTGATTTGTTGTGAGGGTTTGTTTGGGTCTTGCTTTTGATGGTCTGCTCTCCCTCTGACAGAGCCTGGCTGAAAGAGACGAGAAGAAGCTGGTGCCCCTGCCTGCCTGCCTCCGTGCTGCTATGACTGACAAATTTGCTCAGTTTGATGAGTACCAGCTGGCTAAGTACAATCCTCGGAAGCACCGGGCCAAGAGCCGTCCCCGCCGGGCCCCCCGCCTTCCAGTCAGTCTGTGCCTCAGCTCTTGTCATTCACAACTGAGGCCCCTTTTATCTCGGAAGTGGGGGACAAGGGAATATGCCGACCCTAAGGGGTCTTACACCCAGAACAGAAGGAGTCAGAGAAATCCAGAGGAGCTGGGTGGAGCTCAGGGGCAGAGACAGCAGAGCAGGCCTCTTTTCCAGCTGGCTTTCTTTTTGGTAGAGAAGGACCTTCGGGGCTATCAGAATGGGTCTCTGTAGGGACTACCTCCATTTCTCTTTCTGAAACTTCTTTTCCTTCCTCTACAGAAGACGAAGCATCCATTTTCTATGAAATATTTTCCAAGATGCTTTATTTCTCTTAAAGACACACAGATGAAGGTGAGTCCCTGGAGTTGTGTATGTGCATGTAGTCTTTTAGTCTTTTCTGGACTAATATTTATTAACAATCCCATTAGGCTTAAAAATACTAATAGTGGGTGTGGTAGGTACATACCAATTTTCTGCCTGGGGATTCTCAGCTGTGATTATGGGGACAGGTTCTGAAAGCACCGGGAAAAGCTTTTTTTTCTTTTTTTTCCCCCATTTCACTCTCCTTGGTATTTTATATTTCACTGACAAGTGACATGTCTGGTTGGATCAGTGAGTTAAAAACATTGTGAGATATCTACCTTCCATAGAAAGTTTTAAAAACAAACCAAGTAAAATCTTTTTTACATTTATGACAAATAAGGCATGTACTTAGCAGCTGGGAGCACAGAATCTGGATTCAGATCACCTGGGTTTGAGTCTCAGCTCCACCCCTTCCTGGCTATGAGACCATAGTCAAAGGTGTTAACCTCTCTTGCCTCACTTTTTCTCATATACAAAATGGAGATAGGGTTGTCTGGTTAGCTTACTTGGTTAGAGTGTGGTGCTGATAACACCAAGGTCAAGGATTCGGATCCCCATGCTGGCCAAAAAGCAAAATGGGTATAGTAGCAGAACCTATGTTGTTGGGTTGTTGTGAAGATTATGTCAGTTACTGTATTTAAAGTATTTCTAACAATATCTGGCTCTAAATAAGTGTTAGCTATCACTACCATCATCATTATTAAAACAGATTATTAGGAAAACATATATTAGTATTACAAAAAGACACATTCTCAGTTGGTCAACTGGTCTTTTCTCTTCATCCTATTAATACAAGTACATCCTAAATTTAGCTCTTCTACCATAGAAGATTTTGAAAGCCACCTTCTTTCAGTGTTTTAACTCCTTACAACTCGCATTGGGCTGATGCCTCTATTTACCTGTTAGAGTCTTAGTGATTTAAATAAGACCTGCTTTCCCTTTCCTGGCCTTTAAGAACAAGAATGTTCTCTGTTCATTCTCTCCCCATTTTGTTTTTCACTAGCCAATCACCCCATGATAACCACTGATAATTCAATCTTGTGTGAATGAAACATAGTAACCGTGAAGAGCTGCTATCTTATGCTCGTCCTGGGAGCTCTTGTTGCTGGAGATTTTTACCCTCTATTCCTAGTCTTTGCCCAATTCTATTTTGGAGAAAGAAAGTACCTCATGTGTATAAGACGGTCTTAGGCTCTGTTTTCTAAAGAAAACATCGACGGTCATAGATGAAATGATTTCTGTGGGACTTGGGGATGTCTCCACAGTTTGAGGCATCCTACAATGACGTGCCAAAGAAAAAGCATCAGTCAATGTTCACTCTGAAGAAATTGGTACAGCGACTGCATATCCGGGAGCCTGCTCAGCACGTCCAAGCACTCCTGGGCTATAAGTGAGAAGCTATACCCTGAGCATACATTTCCATCTAGGTAACCCTGTGACTTTCCAATATCCATGGCCCAAATCCTGGTAGTTCTCATTCCCAGCAATATGAGTTTGGGCAGACATGGCCAACAAACATAACAGACTGTCTTTATCCAACTCACCATTCCTTTTCCAAGTTATTTTCTGCTAGCTTTGGAATGATAGGCTCTTTCTCCTCTGTCCCAGATACCCCTCCAACCTACAGCTCTTTTCTCGAAGTCGCCTCCCTGGGCCATGGGATCCTAGCAAAGCTGGGAAGCGGATGAAGCTCTCTAGGCCAGAGACCTGGGAGCGGGAGCTGAGCCTGCGGGGAAACAAAGCTGCCGTCTGGGAAGAACTCATCGGTAGAGTGACCTTGATCATCACACTCCTTTCCTCTCTTCCCCATTCAAGCCTCTACATTTTAAACCCTGACTAGAAAATTTCCATGGCGTGATGCAATTGTTGTCTTGCCTAGTAGTTGCATGGACAGTGGTGTCCACTTTGAGTAGAGCTGGCATCATAGACAGATCATTATTCCAGATGTCGTTAGGTCATACACAAGTCTTTATCAACCTGTGTTAAAAGTGGTACCTTCTCTCTGATTACTTTTGTATCGATATCATTCCAAACAAGGTAGGACTGGCACATGGCATGCTGGAATCTCTACGGAAACTGATATTTAGTATATGGAAGTTTTGCCCACACTGATAAAGAGAAAAAAATTCAAACTGGGAAAGACCAAGTTACCTTCAGTCTTCTCTTTTTCTGTTTTTTTGTTAGTTTATTTTTAACTATAGAAGGCTCTTTCTATTTTCACATATATGTACCTTATTTCTATTATGTTTCCTTTTGCTTCCTCTTTCATTGTTGAAAATTTAAAGTCAATTTATTTCTGTTAAAAGACATCTAACTTTAGACCTTTTGACTTTTGTAGACCTCACATTTTGGAGCTTCAGAAGCCCAAATTGTCTTTTACTTTATTTCTCTGTGCATTGCCCATTATAGATTGTACTCAGGGCAGCCTGAGTTGCTCAGCTGCTCATCACTCTTCTCACTTTGTTGTTGTCACTGGTGATGTATATATCAGAATTGTCTGGGAATTAAAACACATGCACACCCTGCTTGACAACCTCTTCCCCAACAGTTGAAACAACTTGGGGTGGAGCGAAATGAAGGGGCCTGGATGGCAGCCAGCATATGTAGATAATTTTATATGCACCATCTCCACTTCCTCCCTGTGGTCAAGAACCACTATCCCTGAAAACTTGAACTGTCATTTATCTTGGTTGAGGCAAATGCCCATAGTCTCATCCAATGGTCTCTTGAGATTTATGATCATATACTGCAAAAACAATTTTTGGAATATCCAGAATACATGTGTCTGTATTTTTAAAAATTGTGTACGTGTCTTCATATAAAGAAGGGGTCTTCAAAAAGTTCATGGAAGGAATCATATTATCTTTGCATTCTATTTTTCCGTGAACTTTTTGAAGTACCCTCATTTTATGCACTTTAGGAAATGTGTAAAATATAAATATATAAATGTAGATATAAAATAAATATAAATAAAAGAAAATATAAAAATACATAGATATAAGTGTAAAATATATAACATATAAGATAAAATGTAATTAGGCATACAGACCCCTTTTGGAGACCATAGATCTCTTTAACTACTCATTAACAATTTTTTGGAGTGAAATTAGTGAATTTCTCAATCTGAAGGACAGATGTCCAGTTTATTTTCTAGTATCACAAATATATTGGATTTAACTTCTTATAATAAATGATTTAGGAAACCTTTTATACATAATAATAGTTAAAAACTTGAGTTGACAATAGATGTGATAGTTCATCAGTTACCAAACATCACTTACAGTATGTATACAACCCAATTGTTCCGTACAGTTTGTGAATCAGAATAATGACTGGAGAAGCCCAGAACTTCCAGAAGGCTGAAAGCTTCTAGCTATAATTCAAATGAGACTTAGATCACCTTTATAAAGGTACCACTACTTTCCGGATGGAAGCTGCTTAGAGTGAGGCTGGGGACTGATAGGCCTGTCCTCTAAAGTGGTCTGAATGCATCTCTGGGGGTTCCCAAGAAAAAAAAGTATCGTATTTCCAGTTTACGTTTACTTTAATCTTAAAGGAAAGAAAGTTCCCAATATTTATCATGCAGATCAAACCCATATAGCTGCTGAGTTTATATGTTATAGTGTTGTGTGTTTCATATGATAGTTGAGGTTCCACAGTCCCAGGGCATTGATGGTTCCCCTTCACTCTTTTTGGTTTCTGCATAATGTGACTTACGACAACTTATCTTGGAATTGTAGATGGATTTAGTTACATTATTTAGTATTAGGTCAGTTTTAGAGGGTTAGTTTGGCTAAGCCTTAAAAAGAGTATTATGAAAAAACTATGGCTTGAAGATGGTACTAATATCACAGGGACAAATCATCAATTAGAAAGTGACAGGTGAAATTATACTTTTAGTGTACGTCTTTTTCACCTATATTTAAGCAAAAAAAAAAAATGACTATGTAATCAGATCTTATAAGAAGTTGGCCAAAAAACTCAAAAATTATGAAGACTACTTGAGATATAGATGTACATTCATTATTATAAATGGTGAGCCTTACCTTAAGTGTATATTGTACCTTCCAATGTTAACTAGTGAATGTACTACGTGTATATAATGTATAAAGTTACACTAGGAAATTTCTCTTTTAGTAATTTTAAAAGTTTGGAAACCGTTGGCTCTTGATTAGAGAATACATTTTGTTGGTTGAATGCAATCTCAGAACTAGAGCCAACAGATAAAGTGGTAACATAAGATGTTTATTGAAGCAGCCATCCCATAAAAAGTGTTGTATAAATTTTGCTCCAAACATCAGGCCAATACTGTTTTATCTTTCCAGACCTATAAGACATTTTGAGTAGAATAGATTGTGGGTTAATTCTTTATTCCCTCCATCTTGAACTTTTTACATGGCCTCCAAACTTCGTGCTCTTGTCTCTGACCTCTTTCTCATCTCCCATTTGCTTTTCTCACCCCATGCCCCACCTTCCGCAGACAATGAGAAGCTACCCTTTATGGCAATGCTTCGGAACCTGTGCAACCTGCTGCGGGTTGGAATCAGCACCCACCACCACGAGCTTGTTCTCCAGAGACTCCAGCATGCGGTACGTGTGAAGGGCAGGTAGTTGTGTGGCCCAGCAAGTAGACATGGCTGTGGAGCTGCTGCTGTTTTGGAAGCCAGGCATTTTCAGGTGGCTAAGGAAGGTCATGGCTACCAAGCTATTTCTGTGGGCTATAAATAGGTATGGAAATACAGGTTGGGGGAGACAGGTCTGGGGGTTCAATCCTTTGGGAAATTACAGGAGAGTATAAGAACTTTCGATTTTCTGAACTTAGTGACTTACCAGGAAGAAGCACTTCTGTAATTTAAATAACTTCAGAAGGAGTCTGGTATAAAAGACACAGAGTCCCTTCTGTTACTTCCTCTTCTTTCTTCTTTATCTCTTCTCATCTTCTAAAATGATGTCCTTCTTTTTTCTTTCTTCTCTCCCTTTCTCTATCTCTAAATCCATTTTGCCCTTTCTTATCCTCCCACAAAGCTAATAGAGTGGTTGCCTCATCGTCCTGGTTCCTGAGGCCCCTGAAGTCCCCCATACTCCCTGATCCTCTGTTTATGTCCTCTCTCTTGCTTTCCAGAAGTCGGTGATCCACAGTCGGCAGTTCCCATTCAGATTCCTTAATGCACATGATTCCATCAATTACCTTGAGGTTCAACTCAGAAATAAAGGTATTACCTCCCTTCTTCCAACACGTTTGCCTCTTGTATCTGAGAATAAATGAGACAACAGCACTGATATTTTCAGCCTCTTGTTTTGTAGTCTCAGCGTATTGGGTGGGCAGAGGTTAGACACTTGCCAGCCCCAAGAGTTCAGCTCAGGACCAATTAGTGATAGAGCAAGATGAGAAAATAGAAGCTGCCTGACTCAGATATTTACCTGTAACCACACAGCATTGCCCTTTCCTTCCAATACAAAACTGATGAGGTCGATAATGATCAGAAACTCAAGAAATGGCAGGAGTTGTGCCCTCAACAGCAGTCGTCGTGAGCTTCGGGCAGCAATGATGGTACCTGTGTTGTATGAGCAGCTCAAGCGGGAGAAGCTGAAAATACACAAGGCCAGGTGTGTCTTTGCCATCTGGGAGCCATGGGTGGGCAATGGGAGGCACCCCAACAGGGTTTGGTAGTCATCTGGGAATCCCAACTGTTTTTCTGTAAGGACATGCTTATCGCTGTCCCAAAGGCTCAGACTTGCCTGGTTCCAGTAGTCTCTCTTTTTTTTTTTTTGGCGGCTGGCCAGCACAGGGATCGAACCCTGGACATTGATGTTATCAGCACCACACTTAACCAACTGTGCTAACTGGCCAGCCCTCCAATATGTCTCTTGCACAGCAAACCTTGTCTTTACCATTGTCCTATAGGAAGATCATGAAATAAAACCTGTGCCTGGACTTCCACTCTATTACTTGTGATTGTTTTATTGGTTTCTGTGGAAGCTGTGAGTCTGTGTAGCATCTCCCTTTCTCTTTGTGCATGCTTGTGTCCTCTCTGCTTCAGCTTTGGTTTGTGGTTTTCTTTTCTCTTCTCTGTGACATCTGTTTGTTATTCTTTTTGTTTTTTTCTTTCTGTATTTTTTGACCCACTCACCTTCTTTCTTCTTTTGACATACACATAAAGATAGTTGTCATCAGGCAGGCTCAAAGACAGACATACAACTTGTTCTATAGGCTTGATGAAGTCCCGATTCTCTGTCCTTTTAAGTGCTTCTACAGTATCTTACATTCATTTTTACTAAAGGCAAATGCAGGACTCATGTAACTTTCTGGTAGGGCTTGGTGACCAGGAGCCTCCTGAGTCAGTGGCTGAACACAGACCCATTTATGAATCAAGCCCAGGGTGCCAGTTCAAACAGAATGCCTGTACTGACCAGTATGGTAGCCACTAGCCACATGTGGCCATTTCGCACTTGAAATGTGGCTAGTCTAAGTTGAGACTTGCTGGGTTTTGAAGAACATCTGAGAAAAGAATGTAAAATATCTCATTCCTAATTTCTGTATTAATTACATGTTGACTTTAAAATATTTTTATGTATATTAGGTTAATAAAATGTAATATTAAATTAATTTCACCTGGTTCTTTTTACTTTTTAAAATGTGGCTACTAGAAATTTTTAAATTATGTATGTAATTTAAATTAAATTAAATTAATTGTATATAATTTTATAAGACAGCATTGGTAAAACTACTGAATTCTCTAGACTTAAAAAACTATTATGAAAAAATTTAAATATGTACACAAGTAATGAGAATAGGATAATAGACTCCCATAAAACTGTTAGCCCAATTAAATATCTAGATTTTATCACGTTTTTCCTGTACTGATCCCTTTTGTTTTCTTTTGAAGATGTTTTTTAAACAATTGCCAAATAATATGTTACATTTTATTTCCATATTTCATGTGTGTCTCTTAAAAAAATGGATACTTTCTTATGTAATTAGAATGTCATTAACATACCTACAAAACTGAAAATAATTCCTTGGTATTATCATCTATTACCTAGTCCATATTCAAATTTTAACTGTCTAAAAAATATCATTTCGCAGTTTTATTCAAATCAGGATTTAAACAAGGCATATCCATTGCATATGGTTATTAAGTCTCTTAAATCTCTTTCAATCTCGTAATAGTTTTAATGCCATTGATTTGCTTTGGAAACCATGTTCAGGGGCCCCACAGAGTGTCCCACATCCTGGACTTGTCTGCTTCCTCATGGTGTCATCTACCTTGTTTTTCTACTTCATGTACCCTAGGCATTAACTTTAAAGGCTTGAATAGATTCAGATTTACCTTTTTTTTTTTTTTTCCCAAAAATTTCATAGGTGATCCTGTGTACACTGTTTGAATGGGACCACCAGACTTTTTGTGCCTTCTGATAGATTACAACATCAGGAGGGACAAAAGTCTGACTCCCACTCATAGTGATGCTAGGATTGAATAGTGCTTTTAGGTGGTGATAGCCTAATCTCTCTATTATAGTTAATGACTCATACATGGATGAACTTTGCCTCAACTAATTGTTTCACTGGTGTTTGCAGAATGGGGGTTTTCCATAATTCCTCCATATTTATTAGCTGGGATTCTAACAGGAGCCTTCCTCATCAAATAGACCTAATTACCCTGAAATAGAGATTGTATAGGAAAGGAGTAATGAAAGTTCAATTCTTTCTCCTGTAATTGTCAAGTTTTCAGAGTAAGGAGTTAGTATTTGTTCTTTAAAATACGATTGAAAAACATATAGCAGTTAAATCTTGCGTCATGAAGTAAGTATGGATGAATGTGATGAGTATGGCAAGTGATTTCAGAGAGTGGGCCTACAGGTGATTTCCCCTCTCTTGCCATGAGAATGGATTGGAAGAGTCCTGTAGAATGGGGCAAGGGGAAACTCCATCCAGTCTTTTATATTACAGTGGAGGCAGGCTGTAGAAGGGTGGGCTGTAGAAGGGAGTGGCAGTGTTTGAGGAGGGAGGGAGGGGACTCAATACTTGAATGGCAAGCTCTCATCTTCTCATCTACCTCAAAGTAATGGGCAGATAAGTCCCTGAGCCCGTGTCTGTGTCTTTTTTGCATGCAGACAATGGCAGTATGATGGTGAGATGCTGGACCAGTATCGACAGGCCCTGGAGACAGCTGTGAACCTCTCTGTGAAGCACAGCCTGCCCCCACTGCCGGGCCGCACCCTCTTGGCCTATCTGACAGATACAAATGCAGACAAGCTCTGTCCCAAGAGCAACTCACAAGGGGTAAAAAAAAAAAAAAAAAGCATCCTCTGAGGGGTTGGTGAGATGCTAGGGATCCAGAGAGTTATCCTGTTCCCAGACCTGGTTCTTCCAGGCAAGCACTCAGACTGAAACAAATGATATGAATTTGCTTCCAAATATCAGTATTTGGCGCTCAATCCTGTTTATGGATTATAATAATAACATTTCACATTGGGCTGGTACTTAATACTCTAAATTTCCATCACCAAAATATGTCTCACTTTGGGCCGGCCCGGTGGCACACTGCTACAGTGCACCGCTTGGGAAGCGCGGCAGCGCTCCCTCCGAGGGTTTGGATCCCACATACAGACCAGTTCCCGCTCACTGGCTGAGCGAGGCGCGGGAGCAACACCGAGGGTTGCGATCCCGTTGCTGGTCCCGGTCCGGTCCGGGCACGACACTGAGGGTTGCGATCCGTTGCCGGACACAAAAAAAGACAAAAAGGAAAAAAATCCTGTTCCCAGACCTGGTTCTTCCAGGCAAGCACTCAGACTGAAACAAATGATATGAATTTGCTTCCAAATATCAGTATTTGGCGCTCAATCCTGTTTATGGATTATAATAATAACATTTCACATTGGGCTGGTACTTAATACTCTAAATTTCCATCACCAAAATATGTCTCACTTTGGGCCGGCCCGGTGGCACACTGCTATAGTGTGCTGCTTGGGAAGCGCGGCAGCGCTCCCTCCGAGGGTTTGGATCCCACATACAGACCAGTTCCCGCTCACTGGCTGAGCGAGGCGCAGGAGCAACACCGAGGGTTGCGATCCCGTTGCTGGTCCCGGTCTGGTACGGGGGCGACACTGAGGGTTGCGATCCGTTGCCGGACACGGAAAAAGACAAAAAGGAAAAAAAAAAAAATGTCTCACTTTCACCTCACTACATCCCAATGTTGAATTTGGGCAGGGATTTTGGCTTGTATCTACCCCCTCCCCAGTTGGCCGGCTCTTCCTGAGGGCTGCTGAAGCTAACCCCTCCTAACTGGGGAATTTTTCCCCTTTCCTTTTTCCCCAAACCAGTAGAGGTGTTTGGCCTCCAGGGCTGGGCAGGCAAGGGTGGATTCCAAGATAGGGGAGCTTTATTTCATCCTGAGGCTTGTCCAATCAGCCCCCGCTGAACTATGTGCTGCTATTGATTGGAATGATGATCGCTCGGGCAGAGCAGGCTGATATCTTGCTGTGCGGAAGAGGCACTCTGAAGACTGCAGTGCTTAAGGCAGAAGAAGGTATCCTAAAGACGGCCATCGAGCTCCAGGCTCAAGTCCAGGTCAGACACTCACCCCAACCATCCAAAAAGATGTTCATGGACACAGGCCTGGGAAAAGCCTGAATAGTTAGTAAAAGCATGGATATGCACAGTCTGGAGATTTCCCAAGTAGTCTGTGGTGGTTATTACTTAGTAATCATCTCTTGTACAACCACATAACGTGTCTCTTTGCTTCAGGAGTTGGAAGAAAAGCATGAATGTCCCGTGCATACTTTTGGGAAATACCTGTTGTCTCTGGCTGCTCAAAGAGTCCCTGTAAGTACTGCTCAGTCCCTGAGAAACTCTCCCCATCTCCCACATTTTTCTCTACAGTGGATTTATCTTGTTTCTTGACTCCTCAAAGCTGACCTTTCAAACTACGTACAGTGTCCAGATCAACTCCCCGCTGGCTGCAATCCAGTGGTGTGCTGGTAAATGTTTAACAACTAGCTGTCTGGAAAAATAAGTTGTAGTTAATAATATTTGGTAAAAAATAAGTTTTAATTAATAGCATTTGATAATTTCTGTGATATAGATAGTCCTTAACATGGCAGATTTCAAGCTACCAACGTGATGATGTCACTGAACATAGAATTGGGAAGAGATGCTTAGTAGCTCACCATTGTGTAGTATTTCTACAATACTGATACAATAGATATAAATAAGCTCAAGAGTAGATAATAGAAAACATAGTAAAATAATGTGGAAGTGATGAGGTTTGAGTGCTTATTACCTTTTGTTTATTTAATTTTAAATCTATGTAATTTAATGTTTCATAATGGCCATTTTTAACAGCTGGCTTACAGAATTCCTAAAAATTTAATAATCAGTTCTCTTAAGCCCAAATGAGCCAGCTAGCACACCACTGCCCCTGCCCTAACCTTCTGTTTGACACCCCTTCAAGTCGACATGTAGTGGCTTCTCTCATTCTAAGTGCTCTCAGGAAAGGCAGTTTCCCACTCCCCTCAGAGTTCTGCTAATCCTTCAGTCCTCGGAGATCTCTTTTCTTGATGTCCTGAGCTCTTTAGCTTCTCCTCTGTCCCTTTGTTCCCTGGTCTTAGCCCCTACCCTTTCATCTCACAGGTGGACAGGGTCATCCTCTTTGGCCAAACGATGGATAAGGTAATGATAAATGTGGCCAAACAGATTTTCTGGCAGCATGTGAATTCCAAGTGCCTCTTTGTTGGTGTGTTCCTAAAAAGGACAGGATACAGGTAATCGTGCTTATACTTCCTGCCCAGTGTCAAAAGTTAGTGATCCATATTTCCACTACCCCTGCCAAAGCTTGGGACACTCTCACTTGCCAGGCACCTCCTGGTCTCTGCCTTCTTACCTCTGTTGCACTTCATGTGCTAGATCCTTTCCTGAAGTCTTCAGCCTAGCTCTGTACCGGACACTCTCACTTGCCAGGCACCTCCTGGTCTCTGCCTTCTTTACCTCTGTTGCACTTCATGTGCTAGATCCTTTCCTGAAGTCTTCAGCCTAGCTCTGTACCCCTAGTGTGGTCCACCCCAGCCCTAGCCTAGGACATAACCCCATTGAAAGTGCAGAGGTGAGGTGTCCCTTTTAGGATGTTAGGGGGCAGTGACTCTGTGTTCTAGGCCTTTGTTCTAATGATTATTGTTTTGCTTCTTCCTTTGTCAGATCACCAGATAGGAATCCCAATGATGTGACACTCTCAGGCTGTACTGATGGGATACTGAAGTGAGTACAGGGTGGACACTGAAGGGGTTGGGGGCTTTGTTAGAATGTCTTTAAGAGATCATCTGTGGTCTACTCATTTCAATTCTTTTTTTAAGCAAGACAAAAGTTTACTCCTTTTGCAGCTGTCCAGGCATAACAGCAACACAAGAGTTACAGAGAGACTCAGGCGCTTTCTGTCTTATTGATCCACGATCCAGAAATACTCAGCTTCTGTCTCCTGGTTCAGGATGGCTCCTTCAGCCCCAGCCTTCTTTGTATTTAGCCAAGTTTGTATTACATCCAGGAGGAAAGAGAAGGGACATGGGAGATTGCACTGTTAGCTTTTATGGGAACAACTCAAATGTTACACATTCCTGTGGCCTCTGTTCAATTCTTGATCCAGAGAAAATCTTATTACAGCAATCTTTTTTACTGTGTCTCTGTCTTTTCCCTTAGCCTTCTCATTTACTTGTTTCCTCCCTGCCTTTTCCTTTGGCTGCCACTATTTCCCTCAGCTGTTATTAGGAAGCCTCACGCACATTCCTCCTTCTCTAGGGAGTTTTGATGACTGGTACAGAGCTAATCAAGCCCAGTCTGGGGTGGGCTTACTCTTTATAACTTAGCTCAGTGCAATAGCCCCTGTCCCAACAAAAAGCCTGTAATTATCATGCACACCAGGAGAAGCTAGAGTTGGGTTTCTTCTCTTATCCTTTATTCCTGCGGTTCTGTAGTCTTGTTATTTTAAGTCTGCGTTCACTGCTTATTGTCATTTTAGGGAGCTCCAGTTAACTGGGTGGCCTAATCTGACCATATCTTTGTCCCCCTCCCCCACTTGAAAGACCTTCCTGATTCTGACCTCTGGTATTCTACTCTTCTTTATTTTGTTTTATTTTGCTATTTATGGCAGGTTCATCGCAGAGCGTGGGGCCTCCCGTCTTCTGGAACATGTGGGCCAAATGGACAAAATATTCAAGATTCCACCTCCCCCAGGAAAGACAGGGGCCCTGTCTCTCCGGCCACTGGAAGAAGATGCTCTAAGGCCCTTGGTTCCCATTTCCCAGCTTGGGTCAGTCTGTGTTTCTGTCCCTTTGTGAGTTGGAAAGGGCTACAGTCAAAACCTGGAGAAACTCTGTGACTAACATTCCGGCTATTGTGATGATGCTTGTTCTATTCCAAAAGGTGTGCTTCCTCTTTCCCAGGCAGAGGTTTTTGTAGCACAAGAAATTATCAGATTGGAAACACGTTCCTCTCTTTATTGGGAAAAGGAGGTTTAGAATGTGGGGAGGGGAGCAGGCACCGTGGCCATACAGCCAAGGCTTAGGCAGAGGGCTTAGGATCACAGGTTCGGGCTTTTTCATCTTGGCTTTGCCAAATAGCTTGAACCTTGGGCTAGTTGCTTACTTTCTGTTTTATTTCACTGCCCCGAGCTGCTGCTGGCCCACTGCCTAGTTGCTTACTTCCTTAAAGCTGTAGTTTCTTGATCAGTAAAGTGAAGATACTGATAGTGCTTACCTCACAGTGTTGTCATGAACAAATAATAGGTACATAATAATGATTAACTGAAAAACGAGGGGTGCATGAGAAATGGCAAGTGAGGTTTAAATTCCAGGGCGCTGTGGTTGAGACTGCGGTATTTCTCCAGAGACCTGCTGGGCACCCTCTGCTATCTGTCGTGCCTGGCTTGTTCTCAGTGCTGAAGGGTGATCGTGGCAGGCCTGTGGATTGGATAGTGGGCTGAAGCCTAGACTGAATGCAGTCCTCTGCTCACCCCCAGATGGCGCAGCATCCGGCTTTTTATTTCATCCACTTTCCGAGACATGCACGGGGAGCGGGACTTGCTGCTGAGGTCCGTGCTGCCTGCACTACAGGCCCAAGCGGCACCCCACCGCATCAGCATTCTCGGCATTGACCTGCGCTGGGGCATCACTGAGGAGGAGACCCGCAGGAACAGGTGTGGGGACCACAGGGAAGAGGGGCTGGGTCAGGGACGAGGTGCTTGAGTGATGGAACTGGGGTGGGCAGGGTTGGGGCTGCAGGAATGGATGAGGGCGAGGGCAGGAAGTTGCCCTGGGATGTTCACAGGAGCAGCCTGTCTTCACTTTGCTCGGTGCGAGCCAGGGCCCAGTCTCCCTGTTTGTGCTTGTGTTCCCCAATCCTGTGCCCCCAGAGACTACTGCATGTCCCCATAACCATTTCTGCAGACAACTGGAAGTGTGTCTTGGGGAAGTGGAGAACTCGCAGCTGTTTGTGGGGATTCTGGGCTCCCGTTATGGCCACATTCCCCCCAACTACAGCCTCCCTGACCATCCTCACTTCCGCTGGGTAAGGTAGACAAGGTTGGAGGAGAGGCTGGGGAGGAAACAGGTTAGGGCAGGAGTGGGGAGGAACCACAGTTTGTCAGGAAGCCCAGGACTATGCACAGGCTAGTTCTTGAGACTTGAAGTGAAACTCAGGCAGAAGATTCTGTGAGTTGACCAAGTGCTAGATGAGGAAATTCCTTTGAGAAGTACCTCCAGGGTTGGCCAAGGGATGTAACAGGTGAGAGAGATCTGTTTAGATTTTGCCATCAGATGGATCCGGGGTCTGATCTCCCTTCCATCATTTACAGGTTGTGCAGCTTTGTGGGGAGCAGCTTAATCTTACCTAGCCTCAATTTCCCCACATATCTTTAAGCGACAGCATCTACATTGCAGGACTATCAACACATAACAGGCATTCAATAAATGGTAGCTGTTAGCTATATTTTATTGCTTGTGTCTAGAGGGAGGAAGAAACTTTTCTGAAGTAAAGGGCTCTAGGGCCATGGAAGGTCTCAAGGGCGGGGTTAGTGTGACCTAGGACTGAACCCGCCTGTCTGCCCTCTCCCTGCAGGCCCAGCAGTACCCTTTAGGGCGCTCTGTGACAGAGATGGAGGTGATGCAGTTCCTGAATCGGGGCCTCCGCCTGCAGCCCTCTGCCCAGGCTCTCATCTACTTCCGGGATTCTAGTTTCCTCAGGTACCTTCTGTTGCCTCTGGGGCCAGGCGTACACAGAAGGCCAGACAGGCTCAGTGGCCATGTTTTCTCTCCCCAACATTCAGAGTATAGGAGGGGGAGCTAGGGGAGAGAAACAGGACTCAGGGGGCATGCCTTTGCAGCTTCAAATCAACCTTGGAGCTGAAGTCAGGAGGTCTCCACTTGAGGAGTTTCTTGTCACATGGTTGGTGGAGGGAGACTGGGGTCTGAGTCTGGCCCTACTCTTGGGTTGTTTGGTGGTCAGCTCTGTGCCAGATGCCTGGAAATCTGACTTTATTTCTGAGTCTGAAGAGGCTGCACATCGGATCTCAGAACTGAAGAGTTACTTGAGCAGACAGAAAGGGATTACCTGTCGCAGGTGAGCTGGGGGAGGTTCAGAGCACCTGTACAGAGAGATGGGGGGTTGGGGGGCCCAAGCCTGCTCTGACTCTGGTTGTGCTTGCTTTGCCCACAGATACTCCTGTGAGTGGGGGGGTGTCACAGCTGGCCGGCCCTATGTTGGGGGGCTGAAGGAGTTTGGGCAGTTGGTTCTGCAGGATGTGTGGAATATGATCCAGAAGCTTTACCTACAGGTCAGTAGGAGCACTGATGGCCAGAGGAGTGGAGAAAGGGGTAGGGCAGGGTGGTCTAGGCAGTCTTGAATGGGAACTGACGTGGTAGGGGCTCTGGGAGTTTTAAGCCTGGATGGAATATGATCCAGAAGCTTTACCTACAGGTCAGTAGGAGCACTGATGGCCAGAGGAGTGGAGAAAGGGGTAGGGCAGTGTGGTCTAGGCAGTCTTGAATGGGAACTGACGTGGTAGGGGCTCTGGGAGTTTTAAGCCTGGGGGTCCTGAGGAGCATGGAAGCACATATAGTCACTGCTCCACGTGCCCTCAGCCTGGGGCCCAGCTGGAGCAGCCAGTGTCCATCCCAGATGATGACTTGGTCCAGGCCACGTTTCAGCAGCTGCAGAACCCACCGAGTCCTGCCCGACCACGCCTTCTTCAGGACACAGTGCAGCAGCTGATGCTGCACCGTGGGAGGCTGAGCCTGGTGACTGGGCAGTCGGGACAGGGCAAGACCGCCTTCCTGGTACAGAGTCTCTGGGACCTGGGCAGGAGGGAGGGCAGGAGGGCTGTATGGGCTCAGGAGGGGAGGCAGAGGGAGCTTGTGCATGAAAAATGTGACCATGTTTTCTGTTCCTGTCCCATGTAGGCATCCCTTGTGTCAGCCCTGCAGGCTTCTTCTGATGGGGCCAAGGTGGCCCCCTTAGTCTTCTTCCACTTTCCAGGGGCCCGTCCAGACCAGGGCCTTGCCCTCACCCTGCTCAGACGCCTGTGTACCTATCTGCATAGCCAAGTGCAAGAGCTGAGCACCCTCCCCAATACCTACCGGTGTGTACCCTTCATCAGCCCAGCCTTGTTGATGGTCCCATGCCCTGCCCCTGCCCCTCTCTCCTGCTGACCTTGACTCCCTCCACACACAGAGGCCTGGTGTGGGAGCTGCAGAGGCTGCTGCCCAAGTCTGCTCAGGCCCTGCAACCTGGCCAGGCTCTGGTCCTGATCATTGATGGGGCCGACAGGTTGGTGGATCAAAATGGGCAGCTGATCTCTGACTGGATCCCAAAGACCCTTCCCCGGGTAAGTGTGAGGAGGAGGTGGGGGTGGGAGGCAGGTTGGGGAGAAGGATGGATACAGTCAGGAGGAGAGGGACCTATCTAATGTGGTTCTCCTTTTCTTTCTACCTCCCTGCCCCTTTGCCCAAATGTCACAGAAAGTACACCTGGTACTGAGCATGTCTAGTGACTCAGGCCTGGGGGAGACACTTGAGCAGAGCCAAGGTGCCCACGTGGTGGCCCTGGGGACTCTGGAGCCATCTGCCCGGGCCCAGCTAGTGAGAGAGGAGCTGGCTCTGTACGGGAAGCGGCTGGAGGAGTCGCCTTTTAACAACCAGGTTGGATCTAGGCCAGTGTTGTTGGGCACGTGGGCCAAATCTAGGAGCCCAGATGACCCGGGTGCTGAGGCTGCCAGCTGCCCCGACCAGGCCCAGTCCTTCATTTTCTCAGGAACTCTTTACCAGGGGAAGTGGTTAATAAGATAACTGATTCCTTATAGTATCACCCAGCCTTTTGCCCTGGTGAATGGCTTCTCTGGGGCCTGTACGGGTGAAGGGACAAGCAAAACTGTTCTTATCAGGTGGGGTGGGGTGAGCCATGGGGGTGGCTAGGCAGGGCAGTGTAGGGGAGGGATGGTTGTGTCCTGAGGGATGGCCGCGTGCCTGTCCCCTGCTGGGGACTCTCAGAGGAGGAGCTGCCTTGCAGAGGGTGTGGTGCTGGGACAGAAGGCTGGCTGTGGGCAGGCTCTCTGGTCCCCACACTGAGTCCTCTGAGTCTCATCAGATGCAGCTGCTGCTGGTGAAGCGGGGCTCAGGTCTGCCACTCTACCTGCGCTTGGTCACCGATCACCTGCGGCTCTTCACGCTTTATGAGCAGGTCGGTTGCTCCTCATCTTCTAAGTCCTAATCCCACTTTCCCTTCTCCAGTCAGCTTCTTTGTCTCATCCCCAGCCCTTATCCTTTGCCGTCTTCTTATCACTCATTCCACCCTCACTCGCTTCACCCCCACCTGTTTCTCTGTAACTTTTCATCATCCCTTCCCACTGTTCTTAACACTGCCCTCTCCCGTCCCCCACAGCCACAGCTCCTTCTCTCCCTCCCCACTGAGCCCGGTCTCCCTCTGCTCCCAGGTGTCTGAGCGGCTCAGGACCCTGCCTGCCACTGTCCCCCTGCTGCTGCAGCACATCTTGAGCACCCTGGAGCAGGAGCACGGCTCCGATGTCCTTCCCCAAGCCTTGGCCTCCCTTAAGGCCACACGTAGTGGTCAGTGGTTGGGCTGGGTTTGTAGGCTAAGGCTGAGGAGCCTCAGCAGGCAGTGCAAGGAGGGACTAGGTGTCATGGGGATTGGTGTGCTGTGTGGTTTGGTGAGGGCCTCAGAGAGCTTGGGTTTTCAGGTCTGACTGTGGACCAGCTGCATGGAGTGCTGAGTGCGTGGCGTATACTGCCCATGGGGACTAAGAGCTGGGACGAAGCAGTGGCTGCTGGTAGCAGTGGAGACCTCTACCCCATGGGCCCATTTGCCTACCTAGTCCAGAGTCTGCGCAGGTACAGGTGCCCCCAGCTCAGCTTCTACCGACCTCACTCTGCCTTCCCGTCTTTGAGTCAGCGACCGTGGGATCCTTTCTTCATCCTGCCCTTCCCTAGTTATATCCCCAACACCTGTCGCCCAGGCCCTGCATGAGCTGTTGCTCCAGTTGCCACTGTTTGAGGTGGAAATGGGAGGCCACTGCTATGCCAGGATGCTCACTGACAGGCCTCCTCCCTCTCACGAGGACAGTTTGTTAGGGGAGGGCCCCCTGGAGCGCCCTGGTGCCCGGCTGTGCCTCCCTGATGGGCCTCTGAGAACAGCAGCTACACGTCGCTATGGGAAGAGGCTGGGGCTGGAGGAAACGGCACACACCCTCATTGCAGGTGACTGCAGCCCAGGTCAGCCGGGCATGGGGTGTGGGGCCTGGGCCAGCACCACCTGCTGGTGCTCCCCATCTGCTGTCCACCCCAGTGCGTTGGTGACTCCTCCTGTAGCCTGAGGGATATGATCTGAGACCTTCTCAATGTCTGTTTTTATAGCTCAGCTCTGGAAGATGTGTGACCCTGATGCCCCAGGCACTTTCCGAAGCTGCACTCCTGAGGCTCTGGGAGACCTGCCTTACCACTTGGTTAGTCCCCAGACCCCACAGACACCTTTCCCCAAGTAACTGCTTCGCTATTCTGAGACCCCTCACATTTATCAACATCACCATCACCACTACCATTACCCCCTCCTCTCAAATTCCCTCTACCTCTCTCCTTTCTGTTTTCCTGCCCTTCTTCTTCAGGTCCTTTGTCCCAGCTCTTGGGTCTAGGTCCTGGCTGCACAGACAGGGTCTAAGACTATACTGTTCCTCCTCACTAGCTCTTCATGTCCCTAATGAATCTAATCTTGCCTTCCTAGCTCCACAGTGGGAACCGTGGCCTTCTTTCAAAGTTCCTCACCAGTCTCCACGTGGTGGCTGCACACCTGAAATTGGGTCTGGTCTCTCGGCTCTTGGAGGCCCATGCCCTCTATGGTGAGATGAGTCACTGGGTGGTTTCTTCTCTGAGATACGGGACTCCTGGGTGTGCGGATGGGGGGGGGGGGGACTCATCAGGAGGTGTAATGGAAAAAATAGTCAAGTTTCCATTCCAAGATGAAAATGCCAAGAGTATAAGCAAATCATTCTCAGGAGTCCTTTTGCTTACTCTCATAGATCAGAGGTCCTTAAACTTTATTTAGTGGGCATGAAATTATTTGAATTGCTGATCCTTGGGTCCCCAGATAGTGGTTCTCTAGGTCTGGAGTGGGGCCTAAAGCTTGGTACTTTTAACAAGTGTTCTTGATATGGGGCCAGAGGGCCACACTTTGAGACTTGCTATTTTATCAGCACCACACTCTAACCAACTAAAACTTACTATTTTTGACACACCATGTGATTCCATTTTTGCTGGGGTTAATGGGGTCCAGGCTGACTCCCTAGTGATCTAGAGGATGCAGAAGGGCTGAGCCCTTCTCAATCTGTCTCTCTTTTGTAGCTTCTTCAGTCCCTGAACAGGAACAAAAGCTCCCTGAGGCTGACGTTGCTGTATTTTGCACCTTCCTTAAGCAGCAGGCTCCAATCCTCAGCCAGTACCCCCTACTCCTGCCCCAGCAGGCAGCCAACCAGCCTCTAGACTCACCTGTTTGCCACCAGGCCCCCCTGCTCTCCCAGCAATGGCACCTCCGGCGCATGCTGCGATGGCTTAATAAGCCCCAGACCATGAGGGATCAGCAAACGTAAGAAGACCCTTTACTCTAGACATTAATAAGCCCACCAGAAAGCAAGCTGCAGCCCTTTCTGAAACTGGAGAATAAAGGACAGATCAGAAGCACTGTGGAGAGTGGGATTCAGGAGCAGAAATGCAGAAACCGATTTCATGTTTGCTGTCTTCCCCTCATTTTTCTAGCTCCAGCCTGACTCTGGCAGTTTCCTCATCCCCCACCGCTGTGGCCCTGTCCCCCAATGGGCAAAGAGCAGCTGTGGGAACTGCCAGTGGGACAGTTTACCTGTTGGACCTGAGAACCTGGCAGGTATGATACTTAAGATGGGGCAGAATTTACCTTCAGAAACCCTCACAGACTGCCCCAAAGCCCTAGACCAGCCAAGACCCATCCTAGACCCACCCACTATCACCCTGATTGATTCTTCTCACATCAGATCAAAGGGATGGGTCAAAAAATCAATCACACAGTAGCTCTTTGCTGCACATCTTTATTCAAGGCATGTACTAAGCATTGCAAGGAACACCGGGCTTAAGACTTTGTTTCTGCCCACCAAGTGGTCAATTTTGTTTGGAAGTAAGACAGAAGGTAAAAAAAGGACCTAAAACATAACCGTGTGACATAATTAAGAGTTCAGTGAGTTGTGTAGTTATGGGAGAGAGAAGGGCAGGCATTCTGCATGTAGTGAGGAGCCTGAGCAAAGACACAGGGGGAGAATGTTTCCTGTAAATTGCTGGGAACGATTGCAGCAGAGGGTGCTTATGGGAGGGTGATAGTAGATTAGGCTGGAGAGATGAGTCGCATAGCCATGGCCTCTCTCTCCCCTCTTCCCACCCATATTATCCTCACCCCCATGTATATGCATGCATGTAATCCCTCTCCCTCAGACCAATCAAAATCTCCCATGACTGGGGAGTAGGTATGAGGTTTGGAGAGAAAGAGAAGATGTGGCCCTACTTGGATCATGAGGCCCCATCTGAACCTGTGCCTGGGCTGAGAATGTAGACAGACAGGGGCAAGCCCTTCTTCTTCTTCTTTTTTTTTTTATTAGTTTTTTTAAGCCCTTCTTGCCTTGGCCTCCTCTCTGGTTGGGGCCCGGGGTAGTGGGACATGGAGGGTAAAGGGTGTTGCCTGAGCTGTGCTTCACCCGCTCTCACAGGAGGAGAAGTCAGTGGTGAGTGGCTGTGATGGAATCTCCTCCTGCTCATTCCTCTCTGACAGTGCCCTCTTTCTCACTGCCTTCAGCGGGCTCCTGGAGCTCTGGGACCTGCAGCATGGTTGTCGGTACGGGGTGCCTCCCACATATCTTGGAGGGGGGCTTTCTCCATTTATCAGAAGCCTCAGGTGAAGGGAACAAGGGGGGAGCCTATGGCCAAGGAGTCCCAGGGGCCTGACTCTCTTCCCGGGATAGGGTGTTCCAGACCAAGGCCCACCAGTACCAAGTCACTGGCAGCTGCCTGAGCCCAGACCGCCGGCTGCTGGCTACCGTGTGCCTGGGGGGATGCCTAAAGGTAATGACTAGGGGGCTGCCGTGGTCTAAGTGACCTAGACTGTGAGTCAGTCATGATGAGGTGTTCTCTTAGCATGGCAGAGACTGCTGACTGCTTGGCCTGAGGAGGCCTTCCCTGCTGAGTGTGGGGACTGGGCAACGTGGCTGCTGGAGCTCTGGGACTAAGAAGCTCAGGCATCTGTATTCAGCACCCTGCCTCCTCTCCTCTCTGTCCTCCAGCTGTGGGACACAGTCCATGGGCAGCTGGCCTTCCAGCACACCTGTACCAAGCCCCTGAACTGCACTGCCTTCCATCCAGAGGGGCAGGTAATAGCCACAGGTAGCTGGTCTGGCAGGTTCAGCTTCTTCCATGTGGACGGGCTCAAAGTCACCAAGGTAAGAAGGTCCTGTGAGGCTCTGGGAAAGGAAGCATAGGAGGACAGGAGTGGGAGATGGGGAATGATGGACATCAGCATTCCGTGTCACTTTGGGCTTGTGCTGAGAGGGGGCCTGACATTTCCATTTCTACCTCCTGCATAGGAACTGGGGGCCCCAGGAGCCTCTGTCCGTACCTTGGCCTTCAATGTGCCTGGGCGGGTTGTAGCTGTTGGCCGGTTGGACGGCACGATGGAGCTGTGGGCCTGGCAAGAGGGGGCACGGCTGGCTGCCTTCCCTGCCCACTGTGGCTTTGTTGCTGCTGCGCTTTTCCTGCGGGCTGGGTGCCAGTTACTGACGGCTGGAGAGGATGGCAAGGTCAGGTTACAGAGAGCTGGCAGGGAGTCCTGAGGACGGAGGAGCAAAGGCAGGGAGTGTTTGGGTGAGGGTGGGCCTTTGTTGAGGAGACTGTGGAGGAGCTTGGATGGCGGGAGCTACAGGGAGAGGGGTGTGGGTGTGTGTGTGGGCAGCCCTCATGAGAAGAGCATCTGGAAGGAGCATCTTAATGGGGGTGTCTGTAACTCTGGTGGTGGGGAGGACTGTGTGGTGGAAGTGGGTATCTTTAAGCCCTTTTCTCGGCCTCCAGGTCCAGGTGTGGTCAGGGTCTCTGGGTCGGCCCCGTGGGTGCCTGGGTTCCCTCTCTCTCTCTCCTGCCCTTTCCGTCGCTCTCAGCCCAGATGGTGACCAGGTGGCTGTTGGG